GAGGAGAGCTTGTCCGCGGAGGTATCGTGGACAAAGGCACGAGAGCCCCAGACCCGAAACACCGACGCATCGCCAACCTCCCCCGTCCAACGCAGTGTATGCGAGGTCTCCGGCAAGGAGATATGGGGCCAGAGGTTGAGCTGATGCGCAGCGTACAGGACCGCAAACGGCCACTGAAAATGGGGAGCAGCCGCATGGATCAAGGATGTACGAGCGACCTCCATGACTAAGCCAAAGCGGCGCTCAGCAACCCCATTCTGCTGCGGAGAGGCCAGAAGCGTGAACGACTGGCGAATGCCCTCCCCACGACAAAAGTCCCGCAAGAGGTCGGAGGAAAACTCACCACCTCTGTCAGAGTGCAGACGCAGGACAGGAAGGTCCTCGCGGAACCGCTCGCGAAGCTGGAGATGGACAGCGCGGATCCAAGGGATCAAAACATCAGGGACCTCCCCCTTGCTGCGCAAGGGGAAGACCGTGGTGTAACGCGAGTGGTCGTCAACAACCAGCAGAAAGTATCGCTCGCGGCCCTGTCCACGGACGCGGGCTGGGCCCCACACGTCCATGTGGAGAGTCTGCAGGGGAGCAGTCGTCGGGGGAAATGAGGAGGAGTGAGGAGCGGCGCGCTGCCGCCCCTCGACACAGGGAAGGCAGGTAGGAGCAGGCGAGGGTGGGAGGGGAGGCAGAGACCTGGGAAGACCAGAGACAAGGAGGCGGGAGTGCATGCCACGGAGGCGTAGCAGGGAGGGGTGACCAAGGCGGTGGTGCCAAAGGAGAGTCTGGTGCGACGGGAGGCGACACGAGCAGGGGTCTGCTAGCTGACCTGACGCGGACGCAGGCGCAGCTACATGAGGAGGCTTAGTAGTCAGTGTGTATAGACTCGACCCAGGCTGACGGGTGAACGTGGCCAGGTGACGGCCCGTCCGTGTACACATGCAGATTGAAACACGCTGACCCCCAGGAGTGGTGGTAGTGACCATCGCATCCTGGAGGGCAGCGGTACTCACCAAGTTCGTAGAGAACGAGGGGAGGTGAAGACCTGAGAGTGAGCCGGACGGAACCGCCGGACACGGGAGAACAGTGGAGGAACGGACAAGAACTGGGCCCCCTGAGGGGTCAGCCAGTCGGACAGCAACAGGTGCAGGGAGTGGTGTGACTGTGGTACTGTCGCGGGAAGCACCTGAGTCAAGCGTGAAGGTGTGCAAGGCACCTGAGTCAAGCGTGAAGGTGTGCAAGGCCCCAGCAGGCGCAGTACCAGAGAGAGCAGACTCACTAGCACCTAGAGCAGCAGCCTCTATACCTAGGTCGGGCGGAATGCACAGGTAACAGTCACCCTCAGCACTAACAGTCAATGCATACATAGTCAAGAGAAAAGATATCCACACCCTGCCTAAGGAGCTCTAGCCAGCGGGGGAGCTCAGTCGCGTCGGGAAACTCTGCGCGCCAGGCGTCGTCAAGACGGGAGAAGCAGCGGGACTGTGTGTGACCAACCTTCCCGCATGTCTGACCAGCGCGGTCACCTGTGCGAATGACGTACTGGCAGCGAACACTACCCCCAGACGTCCCATGCTGAGCAAACCACTCACAAAGCTCCTGGGGTGTAGGGGTCTCACGCTGACGCTACTGCTGCTGCCTCTGACCACCGCCAGAACCACCCCTCTGACCGGTACCACCCCGGCCGCCACCACTGCCGCCGCCACCACTCAAACTACCGCCACCACTGCCGCCGCGACCACTCCCACTGCCGCCACCACCGCCGCCACCAACGCCTCCACTCCCACCACCACTCCCTCCGTCACCACCGCCACCTCCACCGCCTCCACCGCCCCCACCACCGCCTCCACCGCTGCCACCCCCACCACCCTTGCATCCCTTGCCCTTGCCGCTGCGGCGCCTCCCAATAGGAGCAGACGCAGACCCGACCTCCTCAGCACGAAGGAAGTCAGCAGCAGTAGCAGAAGCGTAGGAGGGGGCAAGGGGGGAGGGGGAACACCCCTTAAAGAAGGGAGTGCTAGGAGTACCACGAGCAGCACCTACAGCGAATATGCTAGCCTCAGCTGCAAGGAGGTGCTTCTCGAGCAGGTCGACAGTGAGGTCAGTGGGGTCCATGGCGAGAAAGAGGTCCCTGACTGTGCTAAGAGAGCCAGGGAGGCGGGTGACGATGAAGTAGAGAGCGATGTACATGGGGGGAGGGTTCTTGTTTAGAAACTGGGTGGGAAGCGCGACGCGGTAGCGAGTGTCACTAGTACAAAGGTGGGTGACTAGGTCGTCGACTGTGGCAAAGGCGGACAGCTCGGGAAAAAGGTAGAGCAGTATAAGGCGGCCGAAAGCAGCAGTGGCAGGGGAGGAGTAACGAGCGACTACAGCGTCGTACAGGGCTTTAGCAGTTTTGTGCTGGCCAAAGTGAGCGCGTTCAGCTAACGGTAGGTGGTTGCGAACGGCTAGGCGAGCGGCAGCGTCACGGGTAAGCCAATATGAGCGAGTCGCACTGTCAGCTATGTCGGGAGGTGCTAGAGAGGCTCTAGACTTGAGGTCAAACAACGAAACGCCGTCTCTAGAATCGCTCAGTAGGAACAGCTGTAAGTCATCGAGCCACGTATCGAACTGGATCGGACGGCCCTCAGGATCGAATGAGAGGACGCTGAGAGTAGCCATAGCGGGCAGAGCAAGGTGGCACACGAGCAGCAGGGCAGCACGCAAGCAAGGACTGCGCGACGGGCAGGGCGGCGCGCAAGCGCTAGGGAAGCGCGCAGGGCAGGGCAGGGCGGCGCACGGCTAGGGCAGGGCGGCGCAACTGGCAGGGCAGGGCGGCGGCCAGCAGGGCGGCGCGCGGGCAGGGCAGGGCAGGGCGGCGGCCAGCAGGGCTGCGCGCGGGCAGGGCAGGGCGGTGCGGCGGCCAGCAGGGCAGCGCGCGGGCAGGGCAGGGCGGTGCGGCGGCCAGCAGGGCGGCGCGCAGGCAGGGCAGGGCGACGCGACGGCCAGCAGGGCGGCATGCGGGCAGGGCAGGGCGACGCGGCGGCCAGCAGGGCGGCGCGCTAGCAGGGTAGGGCGGCGTGGCGCTAGCAGGGCAGCGCGACGGACAGGGCAGGGCGGCACGACGGGCAGGGCAGGGCGGCGCGGCACTAGCAGGGCAGCGCGACGGGCAGGGCAGGGCGGAGCGCAGCCAGCAGGGCGGCGCGACGGGCAGGGCAGGGCGGCGCGGGCGCGACGGGCAGGAAAGGGCAGCGCGAGGCTAGCAGGGCGGCGCGACGGGCAGGGCAGGGCGGCGCGCAGCTAGCAGGGCGGCGCGACGGGCAGGGCAGAGCAGCGCGACTGGTGGGGCAGCGCGACGGGCACGGTAGGGCGCTACGGGCAGGGTAACGCGCTACGGGAAGCAAACTATACGGTGGGCCCTAAAAAAAAAAAAACGGTCCTGGAACAGGACTTGCTCTGAAACCATGTCAGAATACTGAACGGGAAATGAATGAACTAGGAACAAAGTTGGTACAAGTACTAACCCTAATTGGGTTGTACCCCTTATGGGCTACCCCACTACAGCCTACAGAACCTAAACATTATAATAGTTTGACAATAAAATGATTGGCAAGATTATACATACTGCCTATAATTAATCAAGATGTAATTGAGTCTGTATCGTTGTGCCACCAAATGTAGGAGGGTGTTAACAACCTTCCAGACAAATCTCAACAATAATATCCAAGGAGAACATAGTATAAGCATTACAATATCAATATCAGAAGCTTTTGTGCAAACCTTGGGGTGAGTATTATCTGTTGGTTACAAAAATAATTTTCTTTAAATCAATCTGCCGATTTCGTTTCATAAAGTGTAGGTCATCCAATTTGGAGCTGAAGCGGAAACGGGTTGCCTGCTATCGAGGAGAAGTCAACCGAAGTCTTGGCCAATGGATCATATTGTGGAGTTCAAAGTTCGAGATTGATTTTGAGTGAATCAGAGTGAGCTGGTTTGAGCGAGCAGCTGTTCGCGATGCGGCAGTTTCTGCAGCTGCGATTGGCTGCTGTTCATGCAGGGTGTTCAACACTGGTCGAGCAGCTATTTTTTTGGTGTTCGGATTGGCTGCTGATCGAGTTGGCAACTGTTCATATGCTCGAGCGAGCAGTTGCTCGCGCTGCCACTTTCAGGAGGAGGTGATTGGTCGCTGCTCGCGCAGCGTGTTCATTTCGTCAGTGGGCGAGCAACTGTTTGTGCATCGTGGGCCGTAACGCGAGCGTTACAAGCTTGCGAACTAAAAGTTGCGTTGGGGGCGAGATGAGAGAAGCGATTGAAGTGTGAGTTCGGTTACCGACGTTCTGAGCAGCAATGACTGTCAAACATTGTTAGTTCATTCATTTCTCACTCATTCTGACATGGTATCAGAGCCTAGGTTAGGATCCTAGGACCGCTTGTTCCTAAGGGCCCACCGTTCTGCTAGAAGCGCCCTCGTGCGCCCTACCTTCCTCGCGCCTTCGTGCGCCTCTTTACTAGTGCGCCCTCGCGCGCCCTCCCTCTCACGCTGCCCGTGCGCAGCCCGCTAGCCGCCCGCGCACGGCCCGTTTTTTCTCGCGCGCAGCCCGCTAGCCGCCCGCGCGCGGCCCATTTCTCGTGCGCGCGACCCGCTAGCCGCCCGCGCAGTCGACGCCGCCCGCGCGCAGCCCGCCCTGGCCTCGCGCGGCCCCTAGCACAGCCCGCGAGCTGCCCGTCGACTGGCGCGCGCCGCCGCCTCGCGCTCGTAGGCCGCCGCCCGCACGTAGGCCGCCGCCCGCACGTAGGCCGCCGCCCGCACGTAGGCCGCCGCCCGCACGTAGGCCGTCGCCTCGCACAGCCGCAGACCGCGCGCCGGCCCACCCTCCCTGCCCGAGCCGCGCCGCGCCGTCCTGCCCGAGTCGCGCCGCCCTGACCGAGCCGCGCTGCCCTACTGTGCACCACCTGCAGCAAGTGCTGCACCTGCTCCTGCTGTTACTACTGCTACTGCTGCTACTGTTCCTACTGCTGCTACTGCCACTATGGCCAGTCCTACCGTTCTCACTTTTGACGCTGAGGGCCGTCCAATTAAGTTTGACGTTTGGCTCGATGACCTGCACCTGTTCCTCCAGATCACTGCCAAGGACGATGTTTCCCTGTTTGACCACACGTTCGGCGTCGCTCCCGCACCTGCTGCTACTGCTGACAGTACGGCTCGCTCACAGTGGCAGACCCGTGACGCTCACGCTCGCCTAGCCGTTCGCAGCCTCCTGCCGTTAGATGAGCGCGAGCATTTTGGCCAGCATAAGACCGCTCAGGAGCTGTACAATGCTGTAGTTGCGCGCTACTCCTCCCCTGCTACTGCTGCGATAGGACGTCTCTCTCTGCCCTATCTCTTCCCCGATCTGTCCGCCTTTGCCACTGTAGCTGACCTTATCAGTCACCTCCGTACTAGTGATCTCCGCTACCGTGCCGCCCTTCCTCCCGATTTCCTCGCCAAGAACCCTCCCCCGATGTACATCACACTCTACCACCTAGTCACTCGCCTCCCTGACTCTCTTCGCGCTGTCAGGGACCACTTTCTCGCCCTCTCCCCCACCGACCTCACTGTCGACCTGCTCGAGAAGGAACTCCTTGCAGCTGAGACTAGTATTGTAGCTGTAGGTGCCTCTCGTGGTGACCCTCGCACTCCCTTCTTTGAGGGATGTTCCCCCTCCCCCCTTCTCCCCTCCATTGCATCTGCTGCTGCTGTCGACTACCTCGGTGCTGAGGAGGTCGGGGCTGCGTCTGCTCCTAGTGGGAGGCGCAAGGGCGGCAGAGGCAAGGGGGGCAAGGGTGGCGGAGGTGGCGGCGGGGGCGGCGGTGGTGGAGGGGGTGGAGGGGGCGGGGGTGGTGGCGGTGGTGGGAGTGGTGCTGGTGGTGGGGGGGTCAGTGGCGGAGGCGGGGGTAGTGGCGGCGGCGGTGGTGGGGGTGGCGGGGGTGGTGGTGGCAGTGGTGGCGGCAGTGGAGCTGGTGGCGGGCGCGGTGGAGCGGTGCAGCGCGGGGGGTTCGGCGGTGGCCAGAGGCAGCAGCAGCAGCGTCCCAGCGAGACCCCGTCGCCCCAGCAGCTCCGTGAGTGGTACTCTCAGCGTGGGGGGTCTGGGGGTGGAGGTAGCTGCCCGTACGTCATCCGCACAGGTGACAGCACTGGCCAGACCTGTGGGAGGTTTCACACGGCGCAGCGCTGCTTCTTTCGTCTTGACGACGCCTGGCGCGAGCAGTTTCCTGACGCCTCTGAGCTGCCCCGCTGGGCTGATCTACTGAAAAAGAACATTGATATCTTTGCTCTTGACTTTGATGCTATCCTTGGTGCCATGTATGCATTAACTGTTAGTGTTGAGGGTGACTGTTACCTGCGTGTACCGCCCGACCCGGGTATTGGGACCAGTGAGGCTGCTGCTCTAGGTGCTAGTGCGTTTGCTCCCTAGGTCCTGGTGAGGCTGCTGCTCTAGGTGCTAGTGAGTCTGCTGCTCCAGGTGCTCGTGCGTCTGCGCCTGCTGGTACTGCGTCTACTAAGGCACTGCACACCTTCACACTGGACTCGGGTGCTTCCCGCTGCTTCTTTCGTGACCGCACTGTCCTTGAGCAGCTAGCTCGGCCTGTTGCTGTCTCCCTGGCTGACCCCTCTGGGGGCCCGGTCCTTGCGACCTCCTCCACTGTCCTCCCTTGTCCTGCGGTCCCGTCCGGCACCCTGTCAGGTCTCTACCTCCCCTCGTTCTCTACGAACTTGGTGGCGGGCTCTGCTCTTCAGGACGGGGGTGTTCACCAGTTCACCCCTGCCCATGAGCGTGTGACCCACTGCACGTGTGCTCGGACAGGCCGCCACCTGGCTACCTTCACTCGGCAGCCGGGGTCGGACCTGTACACACTGACCACTGAGTCCCCTTAGGTAGCTGCGTCTGCGTCTGCGTTAGGTCAGCTGTCGGCCCCCTGCTCGTGTCGCACCCTGTCGCACCAGACCGTCCTCTGACACCACCGCCTTGGTCACCCGTCAGTGCAGCGCCTTTGTGGCATGCACTCCCGGTACCTTGTCTCTGGTCTTCCTAGGACCCTGCCTCCCCTGCCACCCTCCCCTGCCCCTCCCTCCCTTACCTGTGTCGAGGGGCGGCAGCGCGCCGCTCCTCACTCCTCCTCGTTCCCCCCGACAGAGGCTCCCCTGCAGACTCTCCACCTGGACGTGTGGGGCCCAGCCCGCGTCCGTGGACAGGGCGGCGAGCGCTACTTCCTGCTGGTGGTTGACGACTACACGCGTTACACCACGGTCTTCCCCTTGCGCACCAAGGGTGAAGTCCCTGATGTTTTGATCCCTTGGATCCGCAACAGTCCTCTCCAGCTGCACAAGCGCTTCCACACGGACTTTCCTGTCCTGCGTCTGCACTCTGACAGAGGTGGTGAGTTTTCCTCCGACCTCTTGAGGGCCTTCTGTCAGGGGGAGGGCATTGAGCAGTTGTTCACGCTTCCGGCCTCTCCTCAGCAAAATGGGGTTGCTGAGCGCCGCATTGGCTTGGTCATGGAGGTCGCTCGTACCTCCCTGATCCATGCGGCTGCCCCCCATTTTCTGTGGCCGTTTGCGGTTCGATACGCTGCGCATCAGCTCAACCTCTGGCCCCGTCTCTCCGTTCCGGAGACTTCGCCGACACTGCGTTGGACGGGAGAGGTTGGCGATGCGTCGGTGTTCCGGGTCTGAGGATCTCGTGCTTTTGTCCACGATACGTCCGCGGACAAGCTCTCCGCCCGCGCTGTTCCCTGTGTCTTCCTTGGCTTCCCCACTGACGCGCCTGGCTGGCAGTTTTACCACCCCACCTCGCGCCGTGTCTTCGCCGCTCAGGACGTCACTTTTGACGAGTCGGTACCCTTTTACCGTCTTTTCCCCTACCGCACTGCCCCGCTTCCCCCCCCGCCACTCTTCCTCACCCCAGGTGTCCCTTCGGTAGACCCCCTCCCTCCCCAGGGTCCTGCTCCCTCAGGTGTTTCCCAGGTAGACCCAGTCGAGCCTGTCGAGGTAGCTGTCGGCTCTGGTCCTGCGAGGGGTACTGAGCCTGGGGGTGCTGAGACTGGGGGTGCTGAGCCTGGGGGTGCTGAGGCTGGGGGTGCTGAGCCTGGGGGTGCTGAGACTGGGGGTGCTGAGCCTGGGGGTGCTGCGACTGGGGGGGCTGAGACTGGGGGTGCTGAGCCAGAGGGAGCTGAGGCTGGGGGTTCTGAGAATGACCGTGCTGCGCCTGGTGGCGCTCCCTCTTCACAGCAGCTGCGTGAGTGGTACTCTCAGCGTTGCAGCCTCCGGCGTGGGGCTGCTGGAGCTGGGGGTTCCGCTGGAGTTGGAGCTGGTGGTGCTGCGGGTGCCGTGTCGCGGCCGGAGCCTCCCTCCCTACAGCGGCTGCTTGAGTGGTACGCTCGTCGCTGCAGCCTCCGGAGCGGCGCTCCTAGCGCTGGGGTGCCGCCCGCTGGAGGCCCTGGTGCTGCTGGAGGTGCTGGAGCCTCTAGTCCTGGAGGTGCTCGTACAAGCGGTACTGGAGCTGCTGGGACTGGGGGTTCTGCAGGAGCTGGTGCTGGAGCTGCTAGAGCTGGTACTGCTGGAGGTACTGCTAGTGCTGGAGCTGCTGGTGGTGCGGCTGGAGGTGCTGCTGGTGCTGGAGCTGCTGGAGGTGCTGCTGGTGCTGGAGGTGCTGGAGGTGCTGGAGCTACTGGAGCTGCTGGTGGTGCTGCGGGAGTTGTAGCTGGAGACCCTGGGGCTGAGGGTGCTGGTGCTGTCTCTGCTGGTTCAGGAGGTGCTGCGCGGCCGCGGCCGTACTACGTTCCACTCCTTCAGCAGGTTCTTGGCCTCCCGCCCTCTACTGGTCCTACTCCTCCCCTACTGAGTCCACCACCTGTCCAGTCGCAATCACAGTTACAGCCTGCCTCTCCGCTGCCTGGTCCTTCTCCTTACGCTGGGCCGACTAGAGGTCTTACGAAGCGTCGTGAACCTGAGTCTCGTCCTGCGTCGCCTGAGTCTCGTCCTGCGTCGCCTGAGTCTCGTCCAGAGTCGCCTGTCCGCGCTGTCCGCGCTGGTCGTCGTGTTCCGCGTGAGCGTCCTCCTCCTGTCCCTGGCACTCACTATATGACTCTGCGTCCTTCCACTGCTCCACAGCGTGTTCCTCTGCCATCTCCTCCTGCGTCCTCTCTTCCTGACGGTCCGGACCCGGAGTCTGACCCCCTTCGGGCTGCCAGTCCTACTGTCACGCGTTTCCTCGCCACTGTTGTCACTGACCCTACCTTTGAGTCCACTGCTGCGTCTGCTCTAGTCGCTCAGCTTGTTGACTTTGCTGCTGCCTGTCGTCTAGACTACGCCGCTAGCCTTGTTGCTGAGTCTGATTCTGAGTCTGTCTGTCCTCCGTCCGTCGGGGGTGAGTGTGCTCTTGGCACGGACGTCCTTGAGGACAGACAGGAGGAGTTTGAGTGCTTTGCCGCTGCTTTACCTCATCTCGTGTCCATGCTGATTGCCCCTGAGGGAGACCCGGATGCACCAGACATCCCGACCCCGCGCTCTTACGCAGAGGCGATAGAGGGTCCCTACTCCTCTCAGTGGCAGTCAGCCATGGACGCAGAGATGGCTTCCTGGAAGTCCAAAGGCACCTACGTCGACGAGGTTCCCCCGCGTGGGGCGAACATCGTCAGTGGCATGTGGATTTTCAGGGTGAAGCGGCCGCCGGATTCTCCGCCTCTCTTCAAGGCGCGTTACGTTGCACGAGGCTTCAGTCAGCGTGAGGGAGTTGACTTCTTCCAGACCTTCTCCCCTACCCCAAAGATGACCACTTTTCGGGTTCTGCTGCACGTCGCCGCTCAGTGTGACTACGAGCTCCACTCTCTTGACTTCAGCACTGCTTTCCTACAGGGCAGCCTGCACGAGGAGATCTGGCTGCGCCGCCCACCTGGCTTCAATGGGTCGTTTCCTGCTGGTACCCAGTGGAGCCTCCGGCGGCCAGTCTACGGTCTCCGCCAGGCACCCCGTGAGTGGCACGACACACTGAGGACGACTCTTGCTGCTCTTGGGTTTGCTCCTTCTACTGCTGACCCGTCGCTGTTTCTACGCACCGACACCACTCTGCCGCCGTTCTACGTTCTCGTGTACGTAGACGACTTGGTCTTTGCTACTGCTGACACTGAGGCACTCGCCCACGTGAAGTCGGAGCTGCAGAAGAGACACACGTGCACGGACCTGGGTGAGCTGACAAGCTATCTTGGCTTGCGGATCACCCGGGACAGAGCACAGCGCACCATTACCTTGACCCAGTCACACATGGTGCAGCAGGTCCTTCAGCGCTTCCGCTTCACATACTCCTCGCCACAGTCCACTCCTCTGCCTACCGGTCACTCGCTCTCAGCTCCACCTTCGGACGAGTCCGTAGAGCCGAGTGGCCCGTATCCAGAGCTTGTGGGCTGCCTCATGTACCTGATGACCTGCACTCGATCTGACCTAGCCTACCCTCTTAGCATCCTGGCACGCTATGTCACTCTTGGCCGACACAGGAAGGAGCACATGGATGCCGCTAAGAGGGTGTTGCGCTACTTGTGCAGTACGTCGGGCATGGGGCTCGCGCTTGGAGGACGGGCTCGAGTTGTCCTCACTGGTCACGCAGACGCTTCTTGGGCTGACGACTTGGCTACGCAGCGGTCGTCTCAGGATTACACCTTCAGCCTTGGCTCCGGCTCTGTTTCTTGGCGGTCTACCCGCTCGTCTTCTGTTCTCGGCTCCAGTTGTGAGGCTGAGATCTACGCAGGGGCCATGGCTGCACAGGAGTTACGCTGGCTCACCTACCTGCTGACCGACCTTGGAGAGCCGCCTCGTTCTCCTCCAGTGCTGTAAGTCGACAACATGGCCATGATTGCCTTGTGTCAGGAGCACAGACTGGAGCACAGAACGAAACACATCGCTCTGCGCTACTTCTTTGCTCGAGAGTTGCAGCAGCGTGGTCAGCTTCGTCTTGCTTACGTGGCCACTCGGGCCAACACTGCTGATGTGTTCACCAAGGCGCTTCAGCCTTGTGATCATCAGCGTTTCTGTACTGTTCTAGGCCTTGTGCCTACTGTGCCTCACTTGCTTACTTCCTGAGTCTGCTTGTACTGTGATCCTTATATATGTCTACCTGCATGTTTACACTTGCTAGGTTGTGATCACTGTATTTCTTGTTGTATTATCAACCTGCATGTGAACTGGTCTTGTGACCGCTTGCTTGTGCTCGGAATTTGTGTGGTATCCTTGAGATCCACCCTGAGTTGTTCTTTGCTTTTCTTTGTTTTGACTGGTCTTGTGACCATCTGGTTGTCTCCCACTTAGCCTATGGGGGTGTGTCAAACATTGTATATGTTTCTATTCTGTAGGCTATAGTGGGTTTAGCCTTAGGGGGTACAACATTCTAGGTTTTCGTACTTGTACTCCCAATGTTGTTAGTTCATTCATTCCTCACTCATTCTGACAATGACTGCTCATATGCAGGGGTGTTCACACCTCGAGAGCGAGGCACACGTGGCGAGTGCTGCTTCGACACAAATGCACGAATTCGAAGTGCTCGCTGATCGAGCTGAGTAATCTTGCGCGAAATTCAAACGGGATCATCTCAACCGTTTTCAAAAAGAGCGGGAAGCATCGACACCGTCGAAAATAAAAGTGCGCAAGATTTCAAACATTTTGCTGGCGAATCAAGAGCCCGCCGAGTTACAAAATAAAAGGGAGGGAATCGTGAAAGTGTTCGCGCTACGAGAAACGAGAATGCTGAACTGAAGAATAGGACACGGTAGAATAGAATGAATTAGAGCTAGCATATAACTGGTGTTCTTGCTGTTTTTCAAACATAACTTGAGTGGAAAGTTTTCCTCGTACCTACTACTAGTACGTTGCCAAGGCTACCATCCGTTTGAATACGCCGAGAAAGAGACGAATGCTGCTGCGACTTAGCGACCTCTACAACTATCTCTTTACAAGCTCGGACCCTTGGATAGGGGCTGACCTTTGGTCAGGCACCCAAGGACCCTCGGAGGTGACCCCGAGGAGAGGTTGAGTATCAACTAAGGCCATTAGTAGTTGGATTAGCGTGTCTATTGAGTAACATTATCACCTTTTTTATGGATAAATATGTATATCAATTATACACATATTATGATGTATGAGATTAATTGACGATTGGTTGAATTATATGATTGATATATTTCTTAAAAAAAACTATGGAAAAAAACAGACATGATCCTCACCATGCGTAGGCTTCTTGATGCCTGTGATCAGATATTGCCTGTATTTGTTATATTTTGTGACAAAATGTTTGTTGTATTTTTTACTTTCGAAATTCGGTCTTGATCAAATTCGAGACGTTACTGGATTGGTATTCGGCTTAAATATTGTGTACCGTTGGCTCGAGAAACTACCGTGCTGTTACTTCCATATTTGTCGAGCTGCAATCGATTGTCAACCAATGCATTGTAAGGTTGATTCTCGTGAACCAAGCCGTGCTATAACCATTTGTCGAGCTGGCAGCAATACAATGCGCTGGTGGGATTGACGGGCATATCATTGCTGTACGACCAAATTGCCTTTCTGGCCAATTGTTGATGAAGCCCGTGCCATCGCTGCTAATCATAATCGGAAAATGTCACAAACACCAAGGGAGTCGTCCCCTTTGCCGCTGCTGAGCCTGATGAGGGAACAAATCAGCATCTTCGACGCTACGCTGGCGGTTGTCTCGCTGGTATGCCAGCGGCAGGTTTTGTCGCCAGGCTTTCATTGGTTAGGTGAGGTGCGGTCCCTTCTTCCGTCATCTCGTAGTCGTTTTCACGACCGATATATTAGTTATGATCAACGAGCTATTTCTCACTTCTATTAGCCTCTTCTGTCAGTCACTTCTGTCTCTGTAGTTCGTCACCTCTGTCCTTGTAGTCGCGAAGTCTCAAGTTCGCTTCGTCGCCAAGTTGAAGTGCTTACAACTTGTTCAAAGACACAGAAGGTCTGGCACCTTTTGCGAAGCTCAACTCGTTTACACTAGAACAGGTAAAATTCACCATTTCATAGCATTCGTTTTGGTTTCTACACACGAGCAACGGGTGAGACCAGTAATATTTGCTTCTTTATGGTTTGCTTTGTCAGATTTATATGACATAGCTACTGTAGGCTATAGTGGGGTAGCACATATGGGGTACAGTTTTCCTAGGGTTTGCATTTGTACCCAACTTTCCCTTAGTCATTTCATTCCTCGTTTCTTCTCATGGTATCGAGCAGGTTCCCTAGTGGGAACGATTCCTAGGGCCCACCACCACGAAATTTTTTTTTTCCTGCCCGGAGCGCACTTCGCTCCGGCCCGAGTCGCGCCCGGTGTGCTCTCCCTACCGTCGCGCCCTCGCTAGGCCCCTCACGGCCCCGTCGCGTCGCCCTTAGCGGCCCTCTCACGGCTCGTCGCGCCGCCCCTAAGGCCCTTCGTGCCGCCCTTACGGCCCGTCGCGCCGTCCTTACGGCCCCTCGTGCCGCCCCTTACGGCCCCTCGCGCCGTCCCTTACGGCCCCTCGCGCGGCCCCTTACGCCCTCCGCGGCCCCGCCACCTACCTGTGCGGCCCCGCCACCTACCTGTGCGGCCCCGCCACCTACCTGTGCGGCCCCGCCACCTACCTGCGGCCCCGCCACCTACCAGCGGCCCCGCCACCTACCCGCGGCCCCGCCACCTACCTGTGCGGCCCCGCCACCTTCCTGCTGGCCCCGCCACCTACCTGCGGCCCCGCCACCTACCAGCGGCCCCGCCACCTACCTGCGGCCCCGCCACCTACCTGCGGCCCCGCCACCTACCAGCGGCCCCGCCACCTACCTGCGGCCCCGCCACCTACCTGCGGCCCCGCCACCTACCAGCGGCCCCGCCACCTACCTGCGGCCCCGCCACCTACTAGCGGCCCCGCCACCTACCTGCGGCCCCGCCACCTACCTTTGCGGCCCCGCCGCCTCCTCTCAGCGGCCCCGCCGCCTCCTCCCAGCGGCCCCGGACGCCGCCCTCTCAGCGGCCCCGCCGAGCCGCCCAGCAGCCGAGCCGCCCAGCAGCCGAGCCGCCCAGCCGCCAAGCCGCCCAGCAGCCGAGCCGCCCAGAAGCCGAGCCGCCGAGCCGCCCAACAGCCGAGCCGCCGAGCCGCCCAGCAGCCGAGCCGCCGAGCCGCCCAGCAGCCGAGCCGCCGAGCCGCCCAGCAGCCGAGCCGCCCTGCAGCCGAACCACCCGAGCCGCCCTGTCTGGTAAGAGCAGCGCCTCTTTCACAGCACTGCCCTCACCCTACTGTTTGCGCTGCTAGTCTACTGCTGTGATGGCTACCCCTAGTGTCCTCGCTTTTGACGCTGAGGGTCGGGCCATTGACTTTGACGTCTGGATAGATGACCTGCAGCTTTTCTTACAGTGCGACAGAGCAGACGGCCTCTTCCTCTTTGACCTCACTTCTGGTGCCTCTCCTGCCCCCGCTGCTGATGCTGACGCCACTGTTCGCTCACAGTGGGCCACGCGCGATGCTGCTGCACGTCTTGCTGTGCGTCGCCACCTGCCTACCTCTGAGCGTGCGCACTTTAGCCAGTACAAGAGTGCTCAGACCTTGTACGACGCTGTAGTTGCGCGCTACTCCTCCCCTGCCACTGCTGCACTGAGCCGCCTCATGCTACCGTACCTCTTCCTTGACCTTGCTGCCTTTCCCACAGTCGCTGACCTCATTACGCACCTCCGCACTAGTGACACTCGCTACCGCGCTGCGCTTCCTACTGAGTTCTGGGCCAAGAACCCCCCCCCCCCATGTACATCACCCTCTACTACATAGTCACCCGGCTCCCTGACTCCCTTCGCGTAGTCAGGGACCACTTCCTCTCAGTTTGCCCCACCACTCTCACCGTTGACCTCTTCGAGAAGTCCCTCCTAGCAGCAGAGAAGAGCATAGTAGCTGTAGGAGCCTCTCGTGGTGACCCTCGCACCCCCATCTTTGAGGGGTGTTCCCCCTCCCCCCTTTTGCCCTCTGTTGCCTCTGCTGCTGCGGCCGACCTCGTTGGGCTTGAGTCGGTCGGTGCGGCGTCTACCCCTAGCGGGAGACGCCGCCCTGGCAAGGGCAAGGGGGGCAGGGGCACTGGAGGAGCTAGCGGGGGCGGTGGAGGCGGCGGTGGAGGCAGTGGAGGGGGTGGGGGTGGCGGTGGGGGTGGTGGTGGGGGTGGAGGTGTCGGTGGCGGCGGTGGAGGCGGAGGCGGCGGCGGCGGTGGCGGTGGGAGCGGAGGTGGCGGCGGTGGAGGAGGCGGCGGCGGAGGAGGTGGAGCTGGTCGGGGTGGCGCTGCGCAGAGGGTCGGCTCCGGTGGTGGTCAGCGCCAGCAGCAGCAGCAGCAGCAGCAGCAGCAGCAGCGCACTCGTGACATCCCCCCTCCTCAGCAGCTCCGTGAGTGGTACGCTGCACGCCAGCGGGGTGGGGGTACTGGTCCGTGCACCTACGTCCTACGCACCGGCGACCGCGCGGGTGACCAGTGCGGGGGTGCGCACTCCACCCAGCGCTGCTTTGGCCGCCTGACGGACGCTTGGCGTCACCAGTTCCCTGAGGCCACTGAGATCCCCCGCTGGGGTGAGCTGTCTAGGGCGGGTGTCGCTGTCTTTGACCTTGACTTTGATGCTATTCTTGCTGCCATGTATACTGTGACTATTAGTGATGAGGGTGACTGTTACCGGTGTTTTCCGCCCGACCCGGGCATTGAGACTGCTGCTCTAGGTACTGGTGAGGCTGCTGCTCTAGGTGCTAGCGAGGCTGCTGCTCTAGGTGCGTCTGCTCCCTCAGGTGCTGGTGAGTCTGCTCTCTCAGGTTCTGCGTCGGCTTCGGCCTCCCACACCT